ATTATAAATCCATTAGCATACAATAGCCTGTGAAAGCAAATTAGAATTATTACCAGAAAGTATACTGCGGTGGAAGATGCAATAATAAATAGTCAGTGAGTTTCGATTATCATGCAAATTCATACAAAAGGTATAGTCAATAAGTACATGAGGAAATAATGAAATTAGATAATCCAGTGATGTGTTTTTGTGTATATGCAACCAACAAAAAGGTATGGGTTTCAAGGGGTCATTGTAGTTAATGGCGTGAGGGAGAAAATGAAATAAATCAACAAATTGGATACTCTCAAGTTATATATAGTGGAAGACACAATTCTGTCTTCAAAACAAACATTACTTTTCGACGAATTTATTTTCAAGTTGTGCAGTCGTATTTATGATGCAACAATAAGTATTGAAAATAGCCCAGTCAACATATATATATGTATATATGGTGGGAGTAAACAATAATATACATTCTTTTGAAGGCTAAGAGTTGAGTAGGGTGATGTAGCGTCATTAGAAATATTACGAACTATTATTAAATGCAACTTCATCTACTTTTACACCCTTCCTAAGTTCGGAAAGAGATGCGAGTTTGTGTGTGTCTGAGGAAATTAGATGATTGAAAGCAATCGGCAGGAAGTTTTGGACCTACGTTTCGCGATAGTCGGCACTCACCAGTCAGCAAGGCTTATCTGCAACCTTGAAGGAACTCACGTCCTTCCTGGAGAATCAAGTCAAACGTTACAGTAACTTCAAAGCAGAGCAAAAAATATGAAAATGAAAATTTTTCTACAATTGGGGAGACAAAATAACTCAGGCTGTTGAAAGCTTTCCACAAAGCTACTGTGCCAATGAGCCTGTTTTGATGAAAGCAGAAATAATCAAGGGGATTTGGAATACTTGCAAAATATTCGAAGCTGGAAAGGCTACCCAGATTACCAAAGGGATGAGAAGACATGACATAGAAATGCTAGGATTCTTTAATAGCTGATAAAATAAGTGTGTCAATAATCTAGGCTAACCCACTCGATAACACTGAGGCAGTTGCCATCATGATGTCACTAACCGCATCCAAGGCTCTTATACAGTGGGGTAATGACAGCAAGAACCAGCCGAAAAGGTAAGGAAGCAACGGTTATCCAATGCTACATTCCTTTAAACAGTACAGATTATACAGACCATTACGAATGTTAACGGACGTGATTGTAATGAACAAACTGTTTTGGAAAATCCTTCTTGGAAAATCTATTTATAATATTTATACTTATTTAGGCATTTCAGCTAAATTTTTAATCATTATACGTATTTTCCCTAGAGTGTATATCAATGATTTGACATTTGCATATGACATGTTGATATGTGACCTTTATTATTTACCTTCATGCTTGTTTAATCCTGAATTGTAGTACTTGTTAGTTGTTTTGTGTACATCGACAATGCGTTATTTAACGATATGAGTTTGTTTGAGTAAATGAAGGTGATTATGACCGTGGACTGTCAGCAAAAAGCGTTGGTGTCTGATTCTTGTGGACAGAGCTTTTTATCCAACCTTGTTGGGAATGTTCTCCTTTACAGTTGGAAATTGTTCAACTATTTTTGTCTTACAATACTTGTTTTGTTTTTAGAAATATACATTGCCTGTATAGCTGCCTCATGGCACTGCTGAGGTAATTGTGAGTTCAATTTTGTTATCGTCAAAAAAACCGCTTTTGTCTGCCTTTGGAACTCTCCATGATAGCACGTGTCTCAACGAAGTTTATTCGGCAATAGGCTAGAACGTAGAGGTCAGTTTCTTGCGTTTAGACCGTAACCGAATAAATTTAGTCGCCACAGAGACCATAAGTTATAACAAACAAATCCCAACGGGCAATTTAAATCTCAAAGTGAGGGCACACAACTTATCATCATGGGTCGGGAGGATATTTGCAGAATGAAGAATAATGAAGAACTCTTTTCGAACGTCTGTGCATTAAGTGATTCGGTAACTGGCGATAACGTTTACACAGATTTACATGGGTCTAACGTGACGGGTATTCCGAGAATCACACAGACCTTATCTCTGTCATGCTCAGTAAAGTGGAGAACCAGCCAGATTGGTGGACACAAAGTCGAGAAGAGGAGAAGATGTGGGCCCAGGCCATTATCTAGTGCGAATAACTTCTAAGGTAAACCACATTTTACGTTCAACACTCAAAAACTGAAGGACAAGACTACAAAAAACACCGCTACAGCTATCTGATGATAACTGCAGATATTCATTTGACATTACTGGGGAAATCTATGTGGAGTAATACTGGAATTCTTTGAAAGTGGCGTTGGTGGAAACATATATGCCCCCTTAGTACGTGAGAGGAGGACAGACGAGGAATATTTAACAGAGGAGAAAGGGATAGTGAAACAGAACATGAACCAGTGCTACGATAGACAACGGAAAGAGAAGCTGAGTTCGGTCTACAACGCACTGAAGAAGATTGCCAGGAAAGATAAAAGACTATTCTATGACATGCTGGAAACTGAAAGAAAATAGGCTGAAGGTAAGAGGGACCTCAGGTCACTCACTGTCAGGGATAATCAGGTCGCTATCGGGGAAGAAATCAGCAGAAATGAAAACAATGAAAAACACTGAAGGGAAACTAATTCTGAAGAGGTGGAACTAAGCGAAAAACTGGGCTCACCTCATTCAGAGATACCGCCACAGACAGCCAGAAAACTGCCATTTAACAACAACCCTCCTCACAAAGTGAGAAGTGCCAAATACCTTGACAAACCGCCGAGGAAAAGCGTCTGAAGCTTTTTAAAAAGCTGGCATGGAATCATTCTGCAGTTCACACCATAAAAAACACTAAGTCTCATCATCTTTTAAAGAAGGAGAGATGCCATGCATGCGAAAACCCATTGTGAACAGCCTGGATTCAGAATAGCAGGTCACGAACGAATCAAATTGGAGTTCTACGAATCGTCACCGAACAGTACGTAGAATGGCAGACAAATCCCTAGCCCAACTTAATTGAGTTTGAAAAAGCCTTTGCAACCGTTGACCGCCTCAACGCTACAGAGTGTAGTGTTATAAACATCTATCCCTCTCATTCAACAGCTATCTAATGATGCCACACATCAAAGGGTTTACAACAATAAATTCAGCAAAGTGTCTGAAGTAGGAATTGTAGAAAAATAGGGCCCATATGCTATTACCGACGATAATTCTGGACTGGATCACGAGGCAGAATGTGTAGGAGTGATAAGAAAAGAATACGTTGGACAAAAAGAAGACTCTGGAATATCTGACCACCACTGATAATCTGTGATTATTTGTCACAAAAAGCTGAAGACCCACAGGCAAAAACCAACATGTTGACAGAACAAGCAGGAAGCGAAGACACAACTCCAAGTGAACGCAAAGAAGGCAGTGGTGAATAAGATACCTAAACAACAACAACAGAAACAACAATAAGCACCAATTACAATCAGTGGGAGAAATTTGAACGAGGTCAATTCTTCCACCCACCAACCTGGGCAGCATCGTTACATCCACAGGCATCACGGATGAAGATGCCAAAAGTAGGCTCGGGAGAGCAAACCACATCTTCGTTGATGTGAAACCAGTGTGGAAAGCTTCCGAACTCAGAGTGAAGATGGAGATTCGGATCTTCAACACTCGTGTCAAATCAGTTCTTCTATGTGGTCCACAGAACTGCCACGTTGATCAGCGAAAGAACGTTGAACAGACTACTCCAGACTTTTATCAACAGCCTCCTTCGCTGTCTCCATATCGATGAATAGATGGCGAGATAGGATAATCGACAAGAAACTTTGGGACCAAATCAGTCGGGGATCGCTTCATCGCTCGAGGAATATGCCGGAGGAAATGGAGATTGATGAGATGTGTTCTGAGGAGACTGTTGAGTGGCGGTGTGCATCAGGCCATACATAGGTCGAGTGAGATCCGAATGTGATCAGAGTAGTCGGTCACCTGAGTGTGACATGGAGATGATCACGTGCGTGGGAAATGATGACTCCTGGTGAATCGCAGAGGCCTATAACATGGCAATCAGGGAATAGAGTGAACTGGAAATTTTCTGATGAAGCACAATATTCCCGTATGAACCTTAGTGAATGGTAACGGAATAGTCATTCCTAGAATCACAACAAAGTGCAATTCGGGATCCTGTATAGACCTTAATGATGGAATCCACTCTGCTGCAGTAATAAGGACTACATGCATGATATCTGCTGATTAATAATGACGAACCAGGGGTGTATACATTCCCCTCCTACTGGAAGTCAATCGTACGTCTTAATATCTTAGAGGAAACCTCTTTGCAACCATAGGTGATGTGGGTTCAACTCATATAAGTGACCACCTTTCATTCAAGTTTGTGGTCATATCTTGCCGATGGCTATGACAAAGAATGTAGCTGAGTTCCACGTCTTCTGGTTGACTGCCTAAAACCACTTGAAGTCTTAGATTATTATTTATAGTACAGAAATTGGTCGAATGTGCACCTCATATTTGGCTTATCAATATATTTTAATAATCAACTTTCCAAATTTTACTGACTGGTTGGTTTGATTTTTCTCAGTTGCATGCATTGTCTCAGCTTCTTTGTTTGGTTATAGTTTAACATAGATGAATAAGAAGCATGCAAGTTTTAGTCAGAAATTCCGAACGATTTGTTTTATTTCAGTATAGCAATAGCAACGCATTATATAAGGAAATTATGTCAATGAGTAGACTCATTTCACGCAACAGTATTTTAAAAACTCAAAATATTTGTGAATCAGTCATACTTCTGTTTATTTTACGTGAAATATGTCAATCCAAGTAGACGTTGAGTTATTGACACTGCCCAATTGTCTTCAATTGTGATTTCTTTTTACCCAAGGAAAAGGCATAAATCAACCAATCAACTTCAATGTATTAAAATCCACCCTTAATAATCCAATCATATTGAAGTAAATTTATTGCAAAACATGTGAGTATTAAATCTCCATTCACATGAGGTATTTTAGTCAATAAAAATTAGTATTTAGTACTTATCAAAAGAGCAATTCATATATAATATTTTTCCAACGTTTTATGTCCTTAAAAAATGTGTATTTTATTTTTTATATTGTGAATAAGTTTAATAATGAATTGAATGTTAAGTCGTTGCTTCCAGCTTGAATGCACAACTTTCCAGTTGATGGACTTCATTTAGATGGTGAAATTGATGACGGGAATTAAAATACAAACGTAAGTTCATGTGAAGTAACGATTTTGCGTAGAATTCGCTGAAAGATATTAGTGGGAGATTTCTTTCCCCCAGTATGTTAAGTACTTTTTGTGTATATGATTCTCATTGTGAATTTAGATACAAACTAGTTTTTATAACATTTTCATTACTTCAGTGAGGTATATCTGCTTTGTAAGACCAAGAAAGTCACGAGTTTTCGCACTAAAACAAACGTGTTCATTAGTACTCCCAAAGACTAGACAGACACTGTTTAAAAATCAGACAGCAGAAAGCTTTCGACTATTTCTATACCTATTTGTAATAATCAGTCAACCAAATCCTTGAATAAACAGAGACTTAGGCTACACTAAGATAACTTTCAAAGTCATGATGTACTCTTTGAAGAACTGATCAGGACACATGACTCAGTCACTGAGTATTTAACAGGGTACTTGTTCGTCGTAACAGCTTTCATCAGAATATATGGTTAATGCTTGAAACGACATCAATGAGTCAGGTGTCATAACACTACTGTTCGTCAACATGTCCCTGGAGAGCGAACTGTAAGGTTCAGTTGAGTTAAACAAGGAGGAATCTGAAATGAAAACAAAAAATAACAGCTGAAACTAGTCGCAAAAGAGGTAGCTCGCATAGCTTAGTGGCTTAGTAAATAACGATTTGGATTCTACTGCTGGCCAACATCTACCAAAATAACTGCTAAACAGTGCTTTGAAATTTCTGTCTGACTTTAAATCTGTTCACTTATTTAACATGAGTAACCTTCATCAAAAAGTATATCAAAGAAGAACAGATTTCTTTTGATTATCTATTAGACATTATAATTTACGCTTACTTTTTTTCTAGTCGATTTACATTCTAAATTTACTTCAGTAGTCTACTTTTTAATAAAAAAAGATTATGGAACATATGGCTTTTATTATTTTTATTATAAGTCTATCTAACTGATAATTACAAGGTATAAAACTAGGTGCACATCAGTGTAGAGACTTTCTCAAATTACATTTTGATTTGTCGATAGATCTGTCTTGGCATAAGATTCATTCTACCCTTAGTCGGTTAATAGGTGTTACTATATTCTGCTTAGCAAATATATAAAAGCACATGAGAAATCACCTTATCTCCACAAGGTTTTTCTTAAATGTCTACTTGAATTCATAATGCACTCAATGTAAACAGTTCTATTTATTTATGGATTATAGAATATGAACTAGAGTAAAGATTTCTGTTCCTCAAGTTTATACCGAGTTAGCGCTCACATTCCCTTTTGAAATTAATCTGTGTAAACTGATTAAAAACTACTCTCAGTAACCACTTGTTACTGAAAACGAAACTGATATAATGCAAACACCTGGAGTCATGCAGTTTGTAGGTAATCAGTTCCATGCAGTTGTATCATTTTATCTGAGTAGATAAACACAGTTATAGGGATTTAGACTCTTTGAGTTCTGTCAGTTTACTAAACTCAAGCGTGACTTTAATACACCTAATATCTAGCCGTCATTTTGTGTATCTGATGCCTTTACCAAACACATACGACTGGTTAATTCTATTTGTTGACATGGATGGTTTCAAAAGAAGCACCTATACTAGCTATTGATGCACCACTTACGGTATCCAGTGGATCACACAGCATGATATGAATATTTTGAGTTTATACAGGAAATCTCATCGAAAGTCCACAGCATTCTGAGTGCGCTGAGAATCTATAACGTCGATACGAGCTGAAAATTGATCTTGATTTGGCTAATGTATCTAATCAACTGATAGTTATTCAAAGTGATACTCAGTTTCCAAGTGACTTTAGCACACATACACTAGGTTCATGCCTCAGTGTCTTTTCATCGAAAACTATGACTGTCTCCAATATTATTATTATTATCGACTAAAAAACTTAGATGTGCGTCGGTGGCACAGTGGTTAGGATGCTTGCCGACCGTGCACAAGGTCCGGGATCCGATCCCCGGCCGACGCACTCCTTTACATCCCTAAGTCAGAAATAAAGCTGGTAAAGAGGAAAGGTTGGGCATGAGGTTAGCGACCTCATCCTATGGAAATAAACACCACTGCTACAGGAACTTCAAGCCTCTAGCTTGAAGCCCTCTGTTGCACTGGGAACATGAAGGAATAAAAAAAACTTAGTCACAAACTGACGAGGATTAAGCGATCACTGAGAACTACAGAGCACTTAAAATCTGTTTCGTCCCAGTTGTAGTCTCTTCACTATTGAGTAACAGTGAAAAAGTCATTGAATTTCATTCCAATGATAAAACACTGGGCCAGTTGATCCCATAATACGAAGGTCTTCAGTTCAATACCGACGGGTTAGAGATTTCACTTTAAAAAATCTACCACAACATTTATGTATGGATTAGGATGCAAAATATACTTATAACCATGTACTCTAGTCCTTACCTATTTTGCAATTGCACAGCTATAAAAAGTTAAATCGTCACTAAAAGAGTCTTTATCGTTGATATATTTTTATATATTTATGGATTGCGGCAATGCGTCAGCGTTTTTAGGAAAAACAAAATAGTGATGATGAGACTAAAGATTAAATCTTCTCAATAGGCAAAGCGTTAGATGAAAAAATAAACGATTATTTGTTTTTCTTTTCGTCACAGCTATGTCTACTGTAAGTTTAATCATTTTTAAAACACTTCCCTGCATTATGTATTGGCTGTGAGTTCTAAATTGTTTTTATAAACTAATCATATACGCTAATATCGGTTCATGGTTCGGTAGACTATTATACCATAATCTCTAGTGTGATGACTTTGTTTCTTTCCATTCGAATGTATTGGTGAATTCAAGTGATTTAATATTTAACTTGATATTTTTCATTTTAAATTTAAGTGAGCCAAATTTGATGCAAAAGATTTCTGTTTTTATAAAGTAGTCTGTCAAATCCAGTTTCACAGAACCTTAGACATATTTTCTGAGACTTTCTTACCCATCTTAGCTACAAATTTTCTACATCATTTTATAACCACAAATCATAGCATACTGAACTGTCTTCATCTTCCTATTGAGATGATTATCAATCAGAAAATGGCTAAACAGCATATACATTGTATATTATTGCACACATAATCATTTATCTTAAGATGATAGCTAGAAAAACTATGTAAAGAATCAATTTCGGTAGGCTGTTTTCGTCGTAGTAGTAACAGCCCGAATGAAATCCTTTTATACACTCTGAATAAATTAATCCTATCATTTATTATCAAGTATCTGACATAAATTTTGACCATTTTCTTCAAAAACTAATTGGGAAACCATAAAAAGTAAACAGAAAATCGTGTCAAGTATACTTATTCAATGAAGCTTGGAAGGTATATTTTTATTCAGCTGGAAACTATCCCTTTACTCTTTTCATCCAACTCTACATGATACGCTTATTTACTCATCTCACTGTGTCATAATCTCAGTAATGAGTTTAACTAGTTAGCAAGTAAAAACATTTTTGTACAGTCAGTAGTGGAATCCATTTTATACTGTATGTTATATTTCTGCAGATCTTAGATTTAGATAAAGCAATGAGAAGACGTAATTTGTCTGAATCGTGTAATGTATTTGCGCAACACATTTCGAATAATCTGATCACACACTTGTCATAGGAATATATATGAAATTAATAAACTCGTTACTCACTAATGTGCCTGTGCTCAAAACAGTTGATATTTTGCGTGATTACATTTCCACAAACAATTTTTTCATCCTGTCCCTTATATCTTAGTTAAGCCATTTATTACTTCTATGTACTAGCAATGTTAGGTTTACATTTGAAGGCTATTGTTTCCGCCAAGTTGGTGGTGTTGCTATGAGAAGTCCGTTAGGACCCTCTTAGCAGATATTTATATGTCGTACATTGAGATTTTATCAGAGGATTTAATCGAAAATGTGCCACTTTATAGAAGGTATATAGGCGACATTGTAATCATAAGTGATGTCTTTTTCTGCCACCTCAATTTTAAATCGAGTGAATGAAGTTCAGAATAGCATATCACTTACAACTGTAGAAGAGGAAGATAATTGTTTTTATCTTTCCTAGATATATTGCTCAGTCAACGGCTTGATGGGTCAATAAAGCGACCTATTTATAGAAAACCTACCTGAACAGGACAGTATTTTAAATTATCACAGTTTCCACCCTGTTCGGTACAAAGGAGTCTTAGTAAGGTGCCTCTTCAGTAGAATCCAACGAGTATGCACTGAAGACACACTTGATGAGGAAGAAAGAGAGTTGACACAAACTCTGGTTGATAACAATTATCCAGACAAGTTCATCAAGAGATATAAAGTAGTCGGAACACCAAGACCCACTCTTCAACTCGCCCTTAATAAAGACGTGTACCCTAATTGGGGCATCATAGCAGCTTGATAACTAGACAAATACTAAATGCTACTGTTAAAAAGACTTTAATGCAGTTGATATCATAATAATTGAGAATGTGGAGCCAATATATCTATCTAAGCCCTTCGAACATACGAAAAATGACGTTACATCCCACTGTATTTACCAATTTGGAAGTACGTGTGGACACACATACATAAGGAGGACTCATCGATCTCTGCAAGTAGGAGCTTTAGAGCATATTCCTAAATGGCTCCAAAAACAAACGGAATCTTTAGAACCCATTAATGGTGAGAAGAGGGGACATATATTGCGAAACATATTATAGAGACAGGACATAAAATTGAAGTTTACAGATCTTTTAAACCTATCTATAAAACGTGTTTGGGGGGTATCCTTAAGTTTGTGGAAGCCCTAGCAATTAGAAAGTTTAAACCACCTTTATTCGTTAAAAAACAATTCGCCAACACATCAAACCTTGCTTGGTAAACTTTGTTTTGATATCGTAGCAAATGTACTATTACCTCTGTTATTTGATTTAGTGGTCTTCATTATTATTTTGACCTCCAATATGTCCTTTTAACTTGACCTAAATTTATTTTCTCACCTCTTAAATCTTTATTAATTTCATATATATGACAAGTTTGTGTTTGATCAGACTGTTCGAAATGTGTTGCGCAAATACATTACACGATTCAGACAAATTGCGTCTTCTTATTGCTGTTTCTGAATTCATAAATGGAACTAAGTGTTTCATATCTTAGATTGTTAACTTCGTCACAATAGTACTCATAGTAGGGATTCATATGATTGACTTTACAACCGTTATGGTAGAGTAAAGGCTTACTGGTAATATCGTTTGAAATGTTCTAGTTTTTTGCACACAAGAGGTACGATCTCATAATGTTGCAATCATTTAACTCATAGATGATATTGGAATTGATAATAACTGTTCACTACTCCAAAATGAAAGTGTACAACTGGTTTCCGAGTTCCAGAGTGACAGAATATGAGTTTACAATACAAATATATTAAAAATGAAGTTTAGTAAGTAGAAATGTTATTCTCTAACTGTAGCTGATGAGTAATTATATTAAACTACCAAACGAGCAATTCTCTTCCATAAATTCTGAAGGAAACTTATATTGCAAAGATACCAGTCGACTCTCAGTTAGGCTGAGATTATTCTGAAAGGCCTAGATTTAAACACTGAAACATTTAGTTGCAAAATATGGAAATCAAAGAATACTATTAATTTTCGGATTTCATGAAATAATTTCCATGTCAACGCATGACATGTGATGCTTCCCTTTAATAGATATTTTAGATTTATGTTCGCAGAATGAATGAATTTCTTCACTGCCACCTGTTGCTTGTGCCTGGAAGAATGTAGGAGAAGTATTCAGAATGCTCAGTACAGTAATTTTATGACTAATTAGAAAGACTACAGTTTATTAGTACAGGGATAAGATTCTTTACTTCATATCTTTTATTTTTGATACTTAGGGGCTTTAGAAATTTAGATCAACTAATTAAGTTACTTTCGGAAAAGAGCCAACCCAATGGAAGTGATATATCTGACTCATTATAGGATGATGCGTTGGTGTAATAAACGCTCGTATTTGAAAAGCTTAAACAAATCATACTGGACTGATAATGCTCTATGGAGCAGTGGAACCAGCCAAATGAAATTATTCGTAGAGGACCTGTCTTTTGCAGAAGCATTTGGGGATTACCTTAATATGAAATAGGTTTTAAAAATTTGCTTAACTCTAACGAGAACTCTTATGACAGATAGTAGTGATCCAAAGTAAATTTTGGCTACGTGGAGTAACGCTTAGAATCACTCAAATTCAGTCCGTTTATCTTTTATCATGAGTTATTATTACTGTGTTAACTATGATGTTAATTTCGATAAGTGTATGAAATCAGTTTATTCTTTAGGGAATAATAAATATCAGATTAACTACTTAGAGTCCTTAATAACAGACAACATTGAGAGGTAACCTTCATAATATTAGGCAAAATAATAATCAAGCAAATTAGAAAACTGAACACAGTAAAATATGGCGTCATTATTTGTGGTGTTTGAAATCCCTTTGTTTATTGCTTCATGTATACATTATTTCGATACACATCATCTGAAAGGCTTAGTTCATAAGTAAACAAATAATCTATGCTAATTTTATGTTTTGTAGAATAAAGTATTAATTACTGAATGTCTCTATGATGCAGTGAAGGATATACATTTCGGTGAGTATTACATGGTTTAATTGCATATATATATATATGAGAAAAATGTATGGATGTGTTTATACTGTGCTTTAGAAACAATCTAGGTATTCATAGGTATGAAATATACAAGAATCGTCTTTCTAGATGGAGGATAATTAGGCTGCAGTAAATGGTTTCTTGTATATATGCAATTGTGAATGTGCGTTTCTAAAATTTAAACTACTTGGTGAGTTTTAGTTTCTTCAAGAGACAAACAAGATTCAGCGTCTTGTCCTTAGCAAAATTCCACATAGGTAAAGTGAACATATTGAATGCATGAATTCATGGAATATACTCTGAACTCTTTTTTGTTTACTCTTTCTGATCACTGGTATTACTGTTCTGTGTTCCGACGTAATACTTCCAATCAGTTTAATTGCAAATATAAGATATGTAAGCACGCAATGGCTTTTGTTAATTCTTTTTTCTAAGTTCCACTAATTACCACTGTTTTATATGCAATTAGAAAACGTCAACGTGCATTGGGTTCACAAACGATTTGAAGTTTTCGTTTATTCACATTCAGTAGATAGATATTGTGCGTCGGTGGCATAGAGGTAGAATGCTCGCTGACCATGCAAGTGGTCCTGGGTTCGATCCCCGGCCACCGACGCACTCCTTTACATCCCTAAGCCAGTAATAAAACTGGTAAAGAGGGAAGGTTGAGCATGAGGCTAGCAACCCCATCTTGTAGAAATAAATACAACTGGTACAGGAACTTCAAGTCTCTAGCTTGAAGCCCTGTATCCCACTGGGAACGTAAAAGAATAAAAAATAGATAGATATTATAAATGTCAAGTAGTATATGTATGTGACAGCTAGTGTCATCAAAATATTGTGACATTCTATAAAGAGAAGGGTAGATAGATACAGCTGATGAAACGGCTGGAGTGAATTACAGTTACATGCCTCCGCAGAGTGAAGGAAGTATTCAAAAGAAGTTGATCAATGACTTATTGTAGATATAAGCAAGGTTTCTCTTCAAAACTATTTGAAGTATTTAAACACTTTAATTATAATTCTCGTCAATGAATCCATGAATAAGTTTAATAGATTGACATTAAGTATACTGAGGACCTACGTTTTTTGCTATGGTGTTCCTACATCCAGTCATTATTATTTGCAGACTAACAGAGTGATCGTCTGACACATCTTTGATACAAATGATTTCACTCTAAGAAGTAGTACGTAATTAACTTTACAGATACTTTCTTAATATCTCTTTTCATTAGACAGTCTATATACACCAATCATTTCACCAGTATCTTTTTTTCACTTGATCTCACTCACTGATACACTGTGAGTTATATTATAATCACATGTCGCAAACAAAAATAAAGCAGCAGTGGACTGAACTGGAATTTTAAAGTGAAATTATGTATCTCACGAATATCAGTGAAGCAAGAATGACAGGTTTCACAGTGCATGATGAATTCACTGTTTTTTGTCATTTTTCCAAGTGACTACGGTCTCCAGACACTTCTTGGGTTTATCATTTCAACTAACTGTGACTTCCTAGGGTTTTATTCTTTGAAGAAACCGCCCCCAGTTAGCCGCGAAACGTTCAAAGAAGGAATGTATAAACATCTAATGGTTACCGAAAATACGGTCAAGACATACAGATGGTTTTTTTTCCTTCACATTCCCCAGTGGAACATAGGGCTTCAAGCTAGTGGCTTGAAGTTTCTGTAGCAGTGTTTATTTTACAGGATGAGGTTGATAGCCTCATGCCCAACCTTTTCTCTTAACTAGCATTATTTCTGGCTTAGCGAGGTAAAGGAGTGCGTCGACCGGGGATCGAGCCCCTGGCCATGTGCATGGTCGGCGAGCGTCCTAACCGCTATGCCACCGACGCACCATACAGATGATACGGAAAATGAAATTACTTAAGTTAACATAAAATAACTATTAATGACGTGACAAAATTTGCGCTAATGTATACGAGATGTTAATTCGGATAAGGTGTTCAAATATGAATACAGTAATGTTAAATCGCCTTGGGTTAACAAGTGGAATAATGCTAGAATAGCAAAAAGAAAATTGTAGTATTTCCCGAAATATCACTGGAATCAATACTGACCTTTTTAAGGGATGAAATCATCAAAAGGAGTGTAACTGAAATCCACACAAACCAGGAAACTGAATTCGAGTAGATTGCAGGTATATATCAGTGCATACATTAAGTTATAAAAGCTGGAGCCGTTCACGTTTTGAGATGACCATGTTACTGTGCAGTCAGTGAAATGAAATTCAATGGTTTATGCGTTTCACTTCATGTCATAATCGTCATGAGATTATCCTCACTTATAATTTTAGAGTTCCACCCATCATGCTGTGTTATCATGACTCCTGAGATGTGCTCACAGTTCCATTATTATTCAGTTATGCGTAGATTGAAGGTCTTTGAAACCTAGTTTTACTTAGTCAAGAATCTACTTTCCACAGTTGTTGTTGCGGGGAACGTAATCTTAAATTCAGGGTTTCATTCCTATTTACTGCATTCAAAAACTCATTCCCATTAAAAGTGGGACAAAGGAAACAAGTTCGTACGGCCTGCATATCATATTCTTAAATTTACGTGAGTGGAATTTGAATAAAAGATTGTAAAATACGTTCCCCGAAGAATAAGGTGTACTTCCCTTGTGAGCACCAATAGTCATGAAATCTTGGTACATGGCATCTTTTCCGCTTACAATTCGTAAAATGTATCCATTCTCTGGTTTGATGAGCAAAAGTTGTAGTTCCGTTCAGTAGTTCTATTCTGTCCGACCTCATAAAGAACAACTCTGACAGTCATACGACTAAACATCAGATCAATAAAACAGTTATTTCTAATAATAGTGAGTATGAGTATGAAAGGAATTCTGAAGAGAAAGAGAGATGGTTACTAAATTTATACAAAAAACCGAAAACTTGTTTCGTTTGGAGGTTTGTGTTGAAACCGAATGAAAGGTTTACAGCTAATCGATCTAGCTCATGGAAAAAAGGAACACCATGAATTGTGTTCACGAAACATCTTGAAGTGCTCATATTATCTTCACTTATTACACTAAACTCGGTTGACAAATGAAGAAATTTCTATGACTGCGATTTTATTATACATATATATATATATATATATTCAGCATATTATTTTGACAATTAAATAAATACACGAAAATGAGTAGTACACATCCTAATATCTTATCTGTATGAACCTTACGTACTGTGAGACGACTGTGATTGTCCCCTGATGTTCACCAGTCTAAACTAGACTATTACTGTTTATAACCTTTCGTGAGCAATTGATAGTTCCAACACTGATTTATTCCAAAACAGAAGCTGTGACAGCTGTCATACATATTTCGTTTTTACTTGAACACACATGAAAGCAACTGGGTACATTATTCGCAGTCTAATAATAAATTCTGTAAATGGACTACACGTGATCGGGTCCACGAAGTGTTGCAGATTTCTCCATCAATTTAAGATTGTTTTTGAGGACAAAACGTCTAGAATTGTGTCCATTTTATGGTAATCATTTTCTCTTAATCTATTCAAAAAATGACAGTTATTTGATGACCATGTGAGCAATGTCAGTTTTAACATAAAGACACAAATCGGAGAAAAAACTTTGTCAAATATCAGACAATTTCTGTTTGAATATATATATATATATACATATGTATAATCAGCTATGGACATCTTGTAAAACATGCTAAAAATATAAGGTGTCTGCGAAGTCACAATCAGATCAATTACTATCAGAACATAACGTTTTCTACCTACACGCAATATATATGTGTTGCAAAACATTTTCGCTTCCTGTACCGTGAATTTCATTCTGTAATGCTTCATTGACCGGAAACATTTGAACACGCCTGGTGCAAAGATCATTTATGTACTAAAAAATTTGCGTATGTTAAATAAATCACTTCTAACTCTATTCACAAAGTTTTAACTATCTTGTGGAAGAAAAAAAAACCAAAATAGTTTTCTTTCGTTTATTTCAATTATATGCTTCATTCATCTTGAAAATGTAGAAAATTCAAATATGCGTGTCTTAATTTTCTGAGGCACAAGATTTCATTTTTATCTTAAACTGAATGTCTTCTAGTAAAATTCGTCTGGGGAAGTTGGCCTGTTTCCAATTCTAATGCCCTTATGATTATTGGAAACACATTGCAATATAATTCGTTTATAATTGTGATTTCTGATTGGTATTTTATGTAATATGTTTTGCGTTTGAGTCCCAGTGTGATTTAGGTATATTTAAATATCGAATACTGCAGGCCACTAATAGGCATCATTAAACAAGCATGTTTGGAACTGATATGGACGTCTAACATTATCACATTTTAATTTCACTACAGATATAATCAAAACATAGTTTGGTGAAGAACATACTAGGAAGCGATTGCAATTATTTAAAACAACCTCTCAAAAATGCCAACAGAGCCTCGCCAAGGACGTAAATGTAACTCCCATCATCCTCATTTCTCCGAAACGCCTCATTTAATGGGACGCCACTACATTTCACAAGCAAACAGTCAACATAATGCGTCAGATCGACTGTATCAGATAGCGATGCAGGCTACAGTAGCTAATGCAGAAGCGTTCAAGGGCACAGGCGATGACAATCGCAAAATAATTCATGATGAAGGTATGACACCAATGAATAAAACAAAATTCGACAAGACTAATCCTTCACAAATCAACAGCAATACAACTACGTCTAACAATTCAACTTCCAAGGCTAAAACAGTTCAGCTAACTCAGCAACAATGGCAGTTGTTAACTGATTATCATGAACATGATTTATTTGTACGCACACGGAGTTGGAGCTTTTGTATGGCAGTTTTAGGGATTGGTGTTACATTATTTGGGATAGGAAGCCCAGCCTGGAAATGGATTGGTGACAGTGAGTCCGTATTTCATAGTAACATTTAAAAACATTTTCGTGTGAATTCATTTTCGTAGGTAGTATCAGTTGATCTTCATTTAGTGAAATCGTATCTCATGATTATTAACAACGAATAATAATGATGAAAATGTGACTTTAGGTAAAACAGAAAACTTTCAGTTGTTTGATCTGAATAATTTACAACTTTATGACTGATAACTGTTTGTAGGAAACCCCAGAAATAGTCCTCATTTTGGATATGCGGAGTGATAGGAACTGATGTCTCTCCAAAGACTAAAATCAGCATCAACAAAGGCTCCAATCAGAAACTCTACAGCTGACCACTACCGCTCTTTTAAACGATGAGCCATTTGTGAGTGAATAATGTTGCGTTATCTAATTCTTAGTTCTTACTGAATACAATCAGTTAAATGCTGCAGGGTGGTCACCAAGCTATAAGATCTCGTTTAGTTAAGATCGTCTAGAACTCAAATCCAGACTGTGCATTTCACTCCGTGTGAGACTCCACAGCCACATGTATAGATATCCAGAATCAGTAGTAGTTTTCTGACTGGAACTCACTGAAAATGTGACACCCATCTTTTTAAATGCTAAAGTGTCTCCCACTTGGCCAATAAAAAACGAAAGTATTGAGTAGTGCCTTGGCTTTTTAAGACCTCAGTTGTTGGATTTGAACGTCAGTGGGAACACAGGATACAGGGGCTTCCAGATGATGAGTCTCAAATAGTACGAAGTAGGCATGCTGGATACACTGCTAGCCATCGTCATCTAGATAACTTCATTTTAACCTGTACACATCGTCGTACAGTCTGTACTAGAAGTAGACATGTCTGGACACAAGCCAATAAGATCAGTCAATTAAAAAATCCAAAATTCATTTAAAAGGTACCCCTACTGGGTATCTTCTGGCTTGTTGGTGGAAACGTGGGCTTTAGGGGTATAATTCATTAAGAGATAGATGGCATACTTTTGTTTCTTACAAGTGACTAATCAATCCAATTTAAGTTTCCTCAAGACCTTGCGATCAAAATGTCGGATGTTTTAAAGAATTTTAAGTAAACATGTCGAAATGTTCTCGAAGGATCTCAAAGTGAAACAGGAATTAACTGCTGCGAAATATGTAGAGTCAAATTCCCCGCATATATCTGCGGTTAACATGGCAAAAGTAACCTATAAATTCAATGGGTTCATTCCTTAATAGATACACACAGGTAACAGGTGAGGGGTCTATGGTATTTACTATGTAAAGTCGTCATTATCAAAATGTCTCCGTCGGTGAAATTCAAAAACAACTGCAACAAAATGCCTTGAAGTTTAAAAAGAATAAAGTAAAGTAGCTTTTACAAGCCCTTAAACATTTTACAGTTTGAGCAGTGTTTTAAAAGATGACCTATGTGTAAATTGGGTCAGCGGGGTTATTTTGCAATAGATAAGTACAAACAGTGAAACTATAAGTATTTATATAATCTTAAACCGTATTTTTTGCATAATCATTAAGGCATCGACTTCCGGATTTATGCACATAAGAGATTTTATGCTGAGTGATAAATTATTTGCATTGAGTTATATAATCAGTTTCATTTTCAAGTATTTACTTACCCACACCGATCTTTCTCTCGAACATGGACTTTACGAGTGTAAAGATAAACAAACATCTTAAAGTGAAATAAGTTATCATGGTTTTTATTTAAAATTCATGTGTATTTTGTTTTGAAGGTCGACATCCTTATGAACTTGGATTGTGGACCTTATGTTTACCAAACAATTCTACTTGTCTTTCAATAATTTATCACTTGCAGAACAACTGGAGTAAGTTTATGTGAAAATAGATTCAGTAGGTTATAGTTTATTAACAGAGACAAGTTTTATTTTGATGGTCTACATTTTGAGTATCTGTTTTGTTTTTGAAAGTATTCCTAATTTGCCGAGCATCCAGTCTACATGAAGCAAGCGGAGATTCACCAAAAAATATAGTACACAGAGAGACTTAAGAAGTATATGTAGGGCAAAAATGTTAGTTACATAATTTCAGATGAACTTAAGAAGCGCTTTTTTCCCTAGACAGATACCATAAGTGCTTTCTAACTTATCCACTGAATAATTCCTTGAAAACCAGGGAACCAGTCATGGTTCACTACTAAGCGATGTTTTGCAAAAGTGGTTTTCACAGATGGCTTTCCAAGGACATCAGGTGATATGTTAAGGATAAACTAACATGTAGTCAGACAACTTTGTTCCCCAAATATATGTTTAACATTTGTGTGGACCTAAACCTCAAGAAGTAAATTAATAAAATTCATTTCTGCTTATTGCACAGTTTCCTTTGCTATTCATTCGTTATTTATAGGTTTAACTCCATCGGTAGGGAACTACTTCTCACTCTTAGCCTTTTATCTACTAAAGTAATGCTGACTTGTTACAGTTAAAGCCTAATTAAATCGAATGAAAACACTTCTAGGATATTATTCAATTTTAAGATCTTATAAAATATATATATACATATTTACACAAAAGCGATATATTCCGGCATTTTAAACGCTAACTGTAATAGTGGTTTCCGAAAAAAAGTCCATAGTGAGTTTTTCCACTTAAGTAATTTTCATCTTTGTCCCTGGTGGATATATATTTCATGAAATAAACTCGATTTTGGTTGTGCTCGGTTAGCTAGATGGTTTACCTGCTAAGCTTTCACTGTCCTTCTAAACCAAATATCAAGCATTTACTGTATTGTAAGCTTCTCATTTAAGTCACACTACTCAGAGATTACAGATGCATAAAAAACAACCATCTGAGCTAGAAATCTTCTATATTATTTAGTAAGATTTCCCTATTTTCACTTGAAATCTGACAGTTAATCATTCTGCTTGTTCTGTGACAGTTGATATTGAGTTTTGATTCATACATTCATTATAAATTATTAATGATATAGAATGTTTATGTAAACATTGCCTCAAAAATAATTGTATTCATTACTTTTAAATCCTGTCAACAGAACTTCATACATCGATTATCTGTTTACTTGGTTGCGCTTGCCTATTTGGAATTCTGGGCCTAGGTTTAGCTATTACTGGAGTATGCAAAAGTGCCTTGATTCTTCGATTGTATTATTATCATTCAGCAGGTGAATGCTTTCTGGTTTCAAGTGAGTATAATATTGTTTGATTTTTGAAGTAATAAGAACGGTAACGGAAACCATAAAAATATGTGAAACCTTGTTACGGAGAGAAGTCTGTGCATCCCAGGAACTTTTGGCTTCCATAGTTCTTCAGATTACTTAAATATAAGAAAAGAAAATGTATATATACGAGTTGTCATTAGGCATCATAAGGAAAGTTTTTTGATATTCGTGCACTCCAGTGCAAGGGAAAATGTACGTCTTTAGCAAAAGATTGACTTATTTATTACAACAGTGGACAAATAAAAAGATTTAGGAAATTATTTGAAAGCTAAGATTCAGAATCTGTGATTCTTCTTGTTTATAGTTCGTCAGACTGTATATTAGGCCTAATACATGGGAGGTGTGTAAATGCAGAAGAAGGTAACTAATTCCATTCAGATAGTAAACCAAGACAAACGTGGAGGTCAAATATTATGAAGTAATAAAGTGAAGCTGTTCGACTGAAGTAGTGATTTCACCATTAGGCGTATTGAGTTTTTCTAATCCAAATATTGCAGAATAGTTTAATTACTTCGACACTGCTGACAGTCAGTTGCATAGGGTAGTAATGTAATGTAATATAAATTATATTCCAATTACATTTGAAAATTTGTTACTGTTATTGTGTGGTTGGGCATTTTTATGAGGTGATACCACTTAGAAGTGAATTTCCAAACCGTTTTTCTTCCATTAAACAATGTCAGTGTTGTTCCTGCAAAAAGTGATATATACAGACAGGTCTATTCAGCTTTATAAATACCTTTGTATGAATTTTGACTGAGTGCAACAGTGTTCCGATTCATTGCTCACTCACTGGAACACAAATGTTTAAACGAGTCGCTTGCGCTTACAAAAACACGCATGCAGTCGCTGCTCAGCCAGTGTTAAAAACTGCTTCTGAAATCTATTTGCTTGATAATACGAATGAAATAACTTAAAGGTTTACTCGTAATTTCTGTGAGTACTCGTTGTGGACTCAATTATAGACTCAGTAATGATGCTCAACATAAGACGAAAGGGAAGTAATAGAAGATACTCTGGCGCTTCATTATATTTATTCAGAATAATAAATTGCTAAAGTGCACACATAGCTAGGGATGGAATAAGGCTCGTCCGCTAGCCAGAAATTTAGTAACAGTCCGAAGATCCACCTATTGCATACTTCAGGGATTCTTCTCCACTTTAGGCTTGCCAAGTTGGCTGTTAAGTCCTATTCGCAAAGAGGTTGTGAATTTCCTGTGGGTTTTTAAAAGATACAATCAGTATTTGTTGCGGCGACCAGGTAACCGATGAAAAGAGAATACAATGTGAGGGCTAACATGTGTGTACTTTTTATCTTAAACGTAAAAAGTGTATTTTTGGAAACTTGTACAAATAAGATTAACAAAGATTTGTTTCAAGCAAGGCCTGTGCACAATGTTCTTGTAGGAAAATGCCATTTATACTTTTAACAAAGACAAAACAATTCTATGCGCGAAACGTTACTCTCACCTTATTACTCCAGGTATTGATTTTGATGTCCATATGATTATTGAGGGATTATTGAAAATTTTTTTTCAGAAGAAAATTTACCTCAATTAAACTTCAATTTAAATTCAAGTCAATCAGTAGTCTTAGATACATATCACCTCATTCTTATAAGAATGACGTCAAACGGATTAATGTTCCATTTAACCCAGATTTCTGTCAGTATAACTAATACTAATGACGATTATACTAAAACATTTTTACGTAGAATCAGTTTAAATTTCATAGTGTTTATCTGTGATATTCAGCTCAGTGTGTCGTTAAGAGGTTGTTACTTTTTCAAACTCAGGCAAAATAGTGGCCGTATTACATGAAACTACTGAGCTCCTATTCTTCTGTAGTTCTTCAGTATTAGTTATAATCTTTATACATATATGGGCCCCTCACGAACCAAGTGGACCAAGTAGTAAGGGCGAAAAGTAAAACAAAAAGTTTAAAAAATGTAAATGGCGATTACGATGATACTGTGATATAGTCCCAGAACGGTATTTCGAAGCTAGTTGGTTTTGACCCTACTGAAAAAGGATATTTTCATCTCGCCATCAAACTTTACCCATTACAGAAAATAGCCAACTTTGAAAGAAATCGAATGATCTAACTGAAGCTAAGAGAATTGATTATCTCATACATTTTCTTCCATAATTTTTCAGTTCATCCACTAACCAAACCAGGTTTTCACATTGACTTTAAAAGTTCTTATAGTGTATTATTATTTCGTCATGTCAGAGACAGTTTTAAGCTTATATCTTCATCCTAATGAATACTGAATTAATTAATAGTCTTCAGAGGTTTACTGCATTATAAAATGAGTTTCAGTCTTCGACAATGCATTAGAAACTTGTAAAATTAATTTGGGAATGTAATGCTTGTTTTTTATAAGACTATTTTTCTATGATTTTAGCCAAAACGCGAGATAACTCCATTAATTAAAGTAGACATGTGATTCCTTAAAACATCACGCACAATATTTAAAATTTTCGCGAGATGTTGAAGGCAAAATAAACTAGACTCATGTGGTAGTTGAAAAAATATTGAATGAATGGTTTATAACGATGTTAGTGTTTTAGAGTTAAATAATTGCATTAGTTGAATTAAATAACAAAACATACGACACAATCCATCTCAAAGCCTTATATTTAAAATATCGTATATCATCCATCACAATTAAATGTTTCGATGGCTGATAACTGGATGAAAATCTGAATACTGACAGTCCGTCTCACCAAGTAGTGAGTGAACACGAAAATATTTTTCACTATTTTACTTCCCAGTTACTCGACGTTTTAGTCTGACAAGATTTTAAGACAAATGTAGTAATAAAATTATGTCAAATGTTTAATCAGACAGCAAAAGTATTTATGTTAAGGTGTAGTACAACAGTTCAGTTTCGTTTCTTTGTTAGGAATCTGCATATTCAAATCATAATCATTTAGACACCACCAACATGTGAAACTTTTAATCCAAGTGATATATACAATTTGTACTGACTGATAACTTTAAAAATCGTAGTCACTTAATGACAATAATAAAAGATTGAATGTAAGCCTCAAGGTTTTGAACACATCTAGGATAATACTTTCTTTTATATTCCAATTAAGGCTGTCTATCCTATTATCTCCAAGACAGTATTCACTCCACAGTGTTCATAGTACCTTTATTTTGCTGATGAATTATCAACAAAAAACTCTAAATACTCTATTGGTCTCAGAGGACGTTCTCGGGCTATTAATCAAAATTATAAGACATTCACTGGTTGACATTTATTAGTATAAATGGGCTTTGAAAACTTAAATTACAAAGGAGACGAGTGAAAATCTGTAGAACTTAAAAGCATTTGATAAAACGTACATCTAAGTAGCGCTAAATGAATCCATTGGACCACATCAGACAGTTAAGATTGTCATCTGATGCTCACTATCGACTGGTCGTATACAGGCATTTACCTGAGGTTCTAGTAGGAAGCCGTGACCAGTAGGGTACAGCAGGTTGAAGGTGAAACAGTAACTCACCGAAGAAGACATTGCGAGGTGGTCACGCTATGTCATGAATTGGCAGAAGTTAGAATTCACAGGTCATTGGATTGGGTCCCAGTGGCTCAACTGTCTACGAGCCCGCCTTGTAACCAGAAGGTCCTGGGTTTGAACCTCGCGTCATGGGTGCGTACTGATGAAGAGTCCCAAACCAGGACGAAACAGATGTTGAGTACTCCCAGATTTTCCACTGGTTCTCAAAGTGATGTCAGCTCATAATGATATCCTCCAACCAATAAAACCGTCACTCGCAATTTCTTAACGAATAGGTGGAGAAACTCTGTCACTATTGACATTGGATAGCAGTAATCATAATGTTAAGACAGGTTATAAATGTAACTGCAGAGGGAATTAAAATAGCTTCCAAAGGTACAGCATGCGACTGTAGCTGTCCTGGAATCACGAGTCACTACCGAAAAATGACGAAATTAAAATGTGTTGTAACAGGAATTCAACGCATTGGAATGTTGATAATCATATAGTAGCCCGAACTGTGTTTAAAGTGGAGATTACACCAAAAAAATATTATGGCGTAGCTAAATGAGTGGGAAAATTAACATCTGGATTAAAGCAAATCTGATACAGTTAAAAATGTATAACATGAAAACAGATCTGTGTAGGTAGAAAAAAAACTATTTGTGACTTTTACATGATTTGTAAAATAAAACTAAATGCATTATAATTTCATTTTTCTGTTCATTTATTCAATCACTAACATGTTTGGGTGACGTCGAGTAAAACATTATTAGTCGTGAATTACAAAGCATAAATATTCAGATGACCACATTTAATCCACTTGCTATCAAGAAAGCAAGCGTAACTGTAAGATGGTTTATACTGCTAGTTGATGTGAGTGGCTGAAACAGTTGGAACCGACATATCGAGTGTATGCATAACCATTTCCCTTCACTGCCTAACCTGAATTTAGTTGATTTTAACTTACGCAGTTGGCTGAGATTAGTGTAACTGAACGCGTTGTTGAGTGGCTCTGCCAAAAGACGTCTTTGGGTAACCTCAGTTAGACTAGCAATCATTTTTGATTACGTTGAGTGGTCAAGACATTTCAATCGGTATCATGTATTTTATTGTGCTTTAGTGTTTAGCACAAAGTTTTTGAGCTATTGCCTTAGGTAATAATACATTTTCTGTGATGACATTATTTTACTGAAGTTTATCATTTACTGACAACAGACTGCCGTTAGAATAAATTAATCTGAGGTACATTAAGGCGTGCCTTTTAAATTCTGTCAAAAACTGTTTTTTAATACTGCCCATAATGAAACATCTGAGAAAAAAGCTTATTAAGGTGTCTGTATTTTGATAAGAGATTACTCATCACTTTCTAAAAGGTACTATTTTTCAATACTAATCTTCTGGAAGGAGAAATTTTCAGTTGATAAGCACTACACACTCAATATTTGATAGCCTTGTATAACTTAAATTTCCAGTAGCTTCTTGATTTACTTAGCCAGTGAGTTGATCTCAAAAGAATCTGAGTCACAAGTAAGTACCAGAAACCCCAATGTTTCGCCTTAATGCTTCTGTTTTTAAGCCAATTTTCTACTACTGCAATTAATCATTAAGGAGCTCCAATTGTATCATTCGTCTAAATGACTGTACTTTATAGTTAGTCTGTAAACTACTATAATTAGTGATAGGCAAGTACAGTGGCCAACGTGTTTGACCAACTCATTTGTTGTATTATGCATGAACGGAAGTAGTGCCTATCAGCCGGTAAAATATTATAGCTAAAAACTTGTGGACAAGCTGAAGCTGTTTGTTGCATAAGTACAAAAGTAGGTATCTATAAAACCAGAAAGCAAGTGGACTGTGAATTACCTAAAGTTTAAAAGTTATAAACCGTTCATACATCCCAATGATACTAGCAATAGTGTAGTACATATTCGGTTTGAACATTGTTCAGATAAAATTATTGTTCACAAACTTTCAATATGCAATTGTTGGCATCGAAATCTGCATACAACCAGCCTAACACATCTGTAAACTCTAACAGCAAAATTATTCCTCGCTAAGTAACTTTAGTTATCGAAACCTTAAACCTTTGCCAAATGTATTAGATACGGCCTTCAAAACTATTGATAGATTTACCCAAACGATATTTTATTGAAGGATAACAAGAGAGCCACTACTTATTGTAAACCACGGGGTAAGTATTTGTAATTTTTAATTATTTGTGCCTAATTCTCACTGTTTGATAGTCTGACTCGAACACTAATCCTTTTTTAACATATGAACTTGAAAACCATTTCAGTGTTTTTTTGGTATCCAAGGCAACCTTCAGATTCTGTGGTCAGTCTAATCCTAAAAAGGCACTGAATTTAGCTGTAGATACCTGTTTTACCGACCTCAAGTAGCTGACCAGCTTCATCTTAGAAACAATAATGACCATCGAAGAGGATATAAAACTCTACATATTGGTGTAGAGTTTTTCTTTGGTCTGGATGATTTAACTGTGAATTTTCCATTTTTGAAGTATGCGCCTCATATTTCCCTTGGAAAGAGCCAAAACATCCAGCTCACGGAGCACAACTACTCCAGTATCATCCACCTGAGTTACAATTCTTCTCCATCATATCTAAAACTATACACACAGAAAATCAGTTTGTGAGTAACTAATATTTTTTTATCACATATTTTTCACTTTAGGTATAACTACGATAGCGTCTTTAATTCTGTATCCAATCTCTGCAGATGCATGCATCCAGAATTTATTAAAACTTGACATATTCAAATTTAAATCACACGATCAAATCACTTTGACCAACATGAAAATTTCTAGTAATAATAGCAACAGGAACTCAGGTGATAGTGATGAGATGTCACTGAAAAGCATAGGAACACAATATGGATATACATACTTCTTGACATGGATTGCCGCTGTATTCTTTTTCAATTCTTTTGTATGCATGAACTTAGATATTTTGATACAATCATTCGTTCGACCGGTGCCCGTGATAAACCACATATTAAATTATTTAGCGCCTTGTTGGAAGTCATCAGCATCTTCATCAACACGTTCACCAGTGTCATCTCCATCGTCTCACTCCTCAAGCTTTCAAAATCAAGCAGCTGCACTGAAACCTAATTATCGTTTGACGGAGACAGATCGAAAAACAAAGGAAGACTTAAGCAGTCGACTAAAGCTTGAATGTAGTCCAACGGACAGCGAAAGTTCTGCTTGCATGTCTGATTCTCATAATGCCCGCACATCACTCGATGACAGCTTTAGAGATGATTATCAACAAGCGCCTCAACATCAAGTTTGTCCCATACCGAATATATTATTAAGCGATTACGACCAAGAATGTAAGGCAATGAATTCCCACATTCACCAAACGCCTAAAAGAAGTCCTTTTGAAGATAAGGCTGATATAGTAAGGATTCCAAAGACAGTGTCACAAGATTCGGATCAAGAGGGTGAATGGATCTGATTGAAAGACTGAAGAATTCCATGTGCCTTTACTAAAGAAAATAAGAAATTTTATCTGTTCAGTTTAAAGTATTAGTGGTATGTACTTGTATTGGAAGCTCTAAATCGCTTTAGTGAATTCTGTAATTATCTTTGTTGTTGAGTGACTACTTTTAAAAGATCATGCTAACTAACGGGGTATGCAGTTTTGTGTCGTAGTTACCGGCTAAGTATCTCATTATAGTTGTTTTGCTGTAAATGTCAGACAAACTTTTTGCTTGCACATGCATACTATAATTAGAAACAGACTTCACGAAAATAATGATCTGGCCATAACGTGTGAAGAAAAAAATGAGTATTTTCTTATCTGTTCTCTAGCGCAGTGTACGCTTATTTGCAATCCTCATTTTGTACGTGAAATATATTTTTTTTATAAAAATGTATATATTTTCTTTTTCTATCACGTATTTGTTTAAATCGAAACTTTAAAAAAACACCGTTCTGCGTCACCTTGACGTAAAATTTAACTAATTAAGACTGAAACTCATGACAGTAGGAAACGTTTTATTTCTCATGCATTATTACACATATCCGTATCCTTCCTATCTTCTACTCTGCGTCTCTCAATATAATAATAGTGTCTTCTATTTATGCCGTATATTGTTGTTTACACTCTGTAAGTGGGTGTTCACTCTCCCTAGCAAATAAAAATCATAATTCAAAAAACCCCAACAAATGTGATGGATTTCCATTTATTGTTACATGATTTTGTCAAATCGTTAGAATATTATTATTATGCATTTCTCTCATTGTAAGTAGAACACAAGACCTCAGCACCACATCTTTACTGCACTCGATTTTCTGTCAGCACACAAGCATTCATTTCTGCATCATATGATCTCCACCAACGTCTGTGGTACATGATGTCGCTCAACCTCCCTCGGTTTCCTTCTGCAGCAGGTTATAGTGACAGAGATTCTTACCGGTTGACCTTGTTGGTAATTAGATGGTCACTAATGGGAGAAGGCAAGTTTTGATGAAGTTCTCTGAGCCAGTGTGGTAAATCTTCACATTGATTTCAGAGTAATGAAGGCCTGCCTTACACTCCCAAATGCATCTTGACTAGCTTCAGCATCTTCATGTGTGAGGCTGACTGTAGTCGAAATGATTTGCTCATCCAGGCAAATGAAAGAGATGACCTCTTTTTCTCTTTCTCCCAGTGATGATGATGACTGGTATTTGTCATTGTTAAGCGCTTATCTCTATCACCTTTGTTTTTTCTATGCTCATCTGGGTTGCTGGCTTTTCTGTCTCCTATGCTGACTCGGTGATTGTTGCTAGTAACCCTTCAATTTTTTTGAGAAATGAAACACAGACCATCCACAGAATCTACATATTTTTGGGTCATTGTGCTTGTTCAACACATGAGCATCAACTCATTTTCCACACACGAACTACCAAACGATCAAGTCCACCATAATTTGGAAGATCTCTGGTAATCACCGTCTTCACTTCAAACACTTCGATGAGCCTTTTGTTGTGAATTACTCTGCATTCGGTATCATTACATGATTTCTGAGTGAGGTTAACAAGTGATGCTGTCAAAAGCCTTTTCAAATTTGAGGAATTTAAGGTGAACGATTGACTGTCACTCGATGGTGGTGTGTAATGTCGCAATTCATTCTGCACATGGTTTGTTTTTTCTTGAATCCAGTGAGTTCACGAAGGAGTTAAGCATCAGGAGCATCTTATGGTCTTTGCAAGATGATTCAGCTTAAAATTTTGCCTTGTATAGACAGGAGCATTCTGAATCTAGAGTTTCTGCAAACCGTTAGTTGCACTCTGGTAGTTTGATAATTAAACAACTTTTTCTAAGCTACAGGTATATTTCAATTCTTCTAAATCTATGGCAGTGCTTCTGGCGGGTCTCCATCAGTCCTGGTTGCCTTCTGTCTGTTGGAAATACCATAATAGTCACACTATCAGTGTGCCGGTGCTACCTGTGTTACTATAACAGATTACCGACCCTCCGTTTGGCAGATCTGAGGGTGCATTTCCGTTCCATATCTCCTCCTTACCCCATTAATCTGGACAACTTAGGCAGCCTGAAACACAATATAAACATTTCATATTTCTGTGCCTAAATTTGCTCTCATTGAAAGAAGACACCTAGGTTGTCTAGTTTCATGAAGTCTTAAATTAAGAGGAATCACTCGTTGTCAAAATGGAGAATCTTCCCGATTCCAGCGGAGAATAAGTTTGTTTTTCGTTTGCTTTGAAGTTTCTGTAGTTGGTTTGAAGTAGGCTTACTAGCCTCACTATCAACCTTCCCTCTATGTGATCTGTTTGTAAATTAGACGAGGTTCCTATTTGATCTACTGGAATAAATTACTCCACATGTTACAGTTTTCCTGTTTAGCCGGTTTTCAGTAACTTTTTTACTTGCATTTGCCCAAAATCTATAGTACAAAAAGATTAAGATATTGGGTAGGAAAACCGGGATGATAGTTATTTATACTTTGTCTACTGCTTCATGCGCATAAATGGAAATGATTTGTTGTGCGGAATACTTCAGATATAAGCACAGACTTATATTTTCATTGCAGTTTATACAATGGGAAACCAGAAGCTGAAATTTTATTATCCCAAGTCATAGCATAACCAAAATTAAAACTTATCAGTGTTTGCTGAAACAAATTACAAATATATTCATGATAACGTTTATTACGCTCGCATGTCTTAATCCTTTATAAAGACTAAATATAGAGCATCAGCAGTTATCCAAAAGAGACATCAATTTTCGGATACAGGTGTCTGTACAAGTACAAAAATTTGATTACAGAGAACTAAAGTTATTGTTATCATTCCCTTGTTCGAAGTGGAACATAAGGCTTCCACAGCACACAAGCTTTTACCTCCCCCTCCTCACATAATGTTTCTCCATGTTATCCTCGTAATCCTAATGTGTTGTTTTGCGTTCTAGTTGTAATCGAGAGCGTTGCGCATGATCTCCTCAGAGGGTGACCGATTCACCTCTGTTTCCTTCCGCACATTTGTCGGGCGACAGGTTACTGGCTATTTTGTTGTCAGAGTTCCTAATTTTACGTCCATTTCGATTTGAATGAAATACAGTTTAAAACACACTAGTACTTTTTCAGTGGGATTTTATCACTTAGAATATATTGAAAATATTAGAATAATTAATAAACTTTTCCAAAGTTGGTTTGTAAGGATTAGTTTTGTTTTTACGAGTTGATCATGGATTGATATCTCTAACTGATATCAATCCGTGATCAACTCGTAGAAACAAAACTAATCCTTACAAACCAACTATAGAAAATTAATTTGATGCTCGCTAGTGACCTGCTACAGGACGGAGTTTCCTGGAGTTCTAGTGAGAAGTCGTGATCAGTGAGGTCCATACAGTCAAGTGTGAGGATGAATGTCCTACCGACGACATTGGTTGGTGGTCGCGCTAAATCACGAATTGGTAAAAGTTAGAATTCACTGGCTGGCCACTGGATCGGGTCCCAGTGGCTGAATGATATACGATCTTGCCTTGTAACTGGAAGGTCCTAGGTTCGAACCTTGGTGGTGGTTGCGTACTGTCAATGATTCTCAAACTAGGATGAAGCAGCTGGCTGTTCAGTACTCCCTGGTTTTCAATGGTTCTCTCACTGATATCAACCCGTGATCAACTCGCAAAAGTTAATAAACTGTAAAGTTTGAAAATCTGTCTGTAGTTCAGGTTTATATGAAGACTGCCGAATCATGACAGATAAAACCAGGCCGTGCTAGAAACAGGCTATTTAGAATATCTGCTATAATGGTCGGAATTTGCTTCACGTTAACTACGTCCAAAGCTACTTTAGTTAAAGTACTTTTTTCGAAAACATTATTCATTTATTATAATTACTGACGGTCACCATTCAACATTTCTTGTTTGATCAAAAGTTAAGTTACATAACATATGTATTTTATACACAAAACTTTACTACAGACTGACATTTTATGAAATATGTGTGGAAAAACCAAATGTAAATATACAGTACTGATGTTAGACAACGTCACTCTAACTGCAGAAAAAGTGAAAAAAATACTTATCATTCTAACTAGTTTCTCAGCAGGCTTTAACTTCTAGTGAAAATTAGGTATAACTTATTTCAGTTTCAAAAATTTGACTTACAAAAACTGAAAGAAGCTTTCTTCAATTCGTTCTGATAGTACCAGATATAAATAGTATGAAAACATGTCTAATTTCTTTATGTTTCTTTTAAGAGTCGTTTTCATTCTTTTCCTAAGCTAATACTTGATGCTCATTTGATTTATGTCTGCTGAAAGCTAAATATTCTGCTGTGCTCACCAATAATATTTGCATATAAATTGAATGAAACTATTCTTAGTCTCTTGTGAAATTAGAAACAAGAAAATCAAATGGAAGGAATAAGAAAAAATTAGTGTTTTTATTCCTTAAGTTTACATATTCTGATAATCATTTCATTTTCGTACGATAAATTATAAGATCAGTTATACTATGATTACTAATTTCGCCTAAGCTGTATTCATTCATTTAATATTTTGAAACTAAGTCCAAATTGAACCCATCAAGATGCAATGTGAAATATACTCGAGTAAAATAGACCTGCAATTTGTATAACTACGGTTCTTGGAACTTTGATGCGCTAAAACACAACACTGCAATTATTTACTACCTTGAGTTTATAATGTTGTTAATTCGTTGGTCTAAAGTTTCTGATATTGGCGCGAATAACTTCAAATGTGCATTTCTTAAAAATCACTGACATAATATTAAAAATTAAGACAGCACACCTTGGATACTAAATGATTTTAAAATATCTGGAAACTCCTCTGAAAGTCATAGTGCAACGAGAATATGAGATTTGTGTTTCACAATGTATTTCGTGATCGCCTTTCCAAAGAACTAGTAAGAGTTTGGTGTATCCTTCAGCCAACCTATGTATCAGAATAGAGTCAATCAAGTAGATCCAGTAAAATAATAGTTGGTTAAAAGTGTGAAGAGAGAAAGTCATAAAACAATGAATTTCACAGCCAGAAAGCGGCATGTTATAATGTGGGTAGTGTTATTAGAACACGGAGATTATCTGAAAAATGTGATGTATTTGAGTAATACATTTCGAACAATTTAATCACACATTTAGTTGTCAAGCCAGTTCAAGTGAAAAATAAAGGTCAATTAAAATACACAAAGTGACAAAATGGATTTAAGAATAATAAGAACAATTAACAAAACGTTTGGTAATCCAATAAAATAAGGATTACCAAGTTAGATTATGAGTAATAACAAATTGTTTTTGTACATACAAGTGGACGTCTTAGTATTTCAGTAAGCGCCCCTGACCGTTTTTAAAAATAATCCTAAAAGCCGTCTTGACCGCATTCTTGTGGTTTCTATCGATTAGTTTACTGGTCGTCTGCCACCTGCGTCTATAGAATTTCCAAAGTTCATCTGTTTCTCTAACCACTTCGGGATATGCTCTCACAACCTCACATGAGAAGCGCGATTACTGCTTCCTTTGTAGGTGCATCCACAC